TATTCCACATATAGTGCTATGTCCATGGCTCACGCTCATGTATTGCGTGAAAGTTGAAAAAGTTTGAGATTACTAAAGTATGAAACAATTGCTTGGCTTGTCATCGGGGTTGTACATGATTAAATACTTTGTGTGATGAAGATTGAGCAACAGCAGACTATATGATTTTGTAGGGATAACATTCTTTAGCCATGTTATTTTGAGAAGACATGATTACTTTGATTAGTATGCTTGAAGTATTACTATTTCTTATGTCAATATGAACTTTTATTTTGTATGCATTTGGATCTGAACATTCATGCCACAATAAAGAAAATTACATTATGAATTACGCTAGGTGGCATTCCACATCAAAAATTCTGTTTTTATCATTTACCTACTCTAGGACGAGCAGGAATTAAGCTTGGAGATGCTTGATACGTCTCCAACGTATCTATAATTTTTTATTGTTCCATGCTATTATATTACCCTTTTTGGATGTTTATGGGCTTTATTTTACACATCTATATCATTTTTGGGACTAACCTACTAACCGGAGGCCCAGCCCATATTGTTGTTTTATTGCCTGTTTCAGTATTTCAAAGAAAAGGAATATCAAACGGAGTCCAAACGGAATGAAACCTTCGGCATCGTGATTTTTTGGAAGATTATCATCCTGGAGACTTGGAGTCCAAGACAGAAGGTCCTCGAGGAGCCCATAAGATAGGCCCCCCCTACAGGGCGTGGCCCCCTATCTCGTGGACCCCTCGAGCACCTCCCGACCGACTTCTTTCGCCTATATATACCTACGCACCCTAAAACCATCAGAAATCAAGATAGATCGGGAGTTCTGCCGCCGCAAGCCTCTGTAGCCATCAAAAACCTCTCGGGAGCCCGTTCCGGCACCCTGCCGGAGGGGGAACCCATCACCGGTGGCCATATTCATCATCCCGGCGCTATCCATGACGAGGAGGGAGTAGTTCACCCTCGGGGCTGAGGGTATGTACCAGTAGATATGTGTTTGATCTCTCTCTCGTGTTCTCTCTCGTGTTCCCTCTATGGCACGATCTTGATGTATCCCGAGCTTTGCTATTGTAGTTGGATCTTATGACGTTTCTCCCCCTTTACTCTCTTGTGATGAATTGAGTTTCCCCTTTTGAAGTTATCTTATCAGATTGAGTCTTTTATGAGAACACTTGATGTATGTCTTGCCATGTTTATCTGTGGTGACAATGGGATTTCACGTGCCTCTTGATGTATGTTTTGGTGACCAACTTGCTGGTTCCACCCATGAACCTATGCATAGGGGTTGGCACACGTTCTTGACTCTCCGGTAGAAACTTTGGGGCACTCTTTGAAGTACTTTTATGTTGGTTGGATGAATCTGAGATTGTGTGATGCATATCGTATAATCATGCCCACGGATACTTGAAGTGACAATGGAGTATCTAGGTGACATTAGGGTTTTGGTTGATTTGTGTCTTAAGGTGTTATTCTAGTACGAACTCTTTAATAGATCGATCTGAAAGAATAACTTTGAGGTGGTTTCGTACCCTACCATAATCTCTACGTTTGTTCTCTGTTATTAGTGGCTTTGGAATGACTCTTTGTTGCATGTTGAGGGGTTGTTATATGATCTATCTATGTTATTATTGTTGAGAGAACTTGAACTAGTGAAAGTATGAACCCTAGGCCTTGTTTCCTATCACTGCATTATCGTTTACGCTCACTTTTATCATTAGTTACCTTGCTGTTTTTATTATTTCAGATTACAAAAACCTATATCTACTATCCATTTTGCACTTGTATCACCATCTCTTCGCCGAACTAGTGCGCCTATACAATCTACCATTGTATTGGGTGTGTTGGGGACACAAGAGACTCTTTGTTATTTGGTTGCAGGGTTGTTTGAGAGAGACCATCTTCATCCTATGCCTCCTACGGATTGATAAACCTTAGGTCATCCACTTGAGGGAAATTTTCTACTGTCCTACAAACCTGTGCACTTGCAGGCCCAACAACGTCTACAAGAAGAAGGTTGTGTGGTAGACATCAATTCGTCGCTGTCGTCATCATCAATCATCCTCCATCACCAATTTCATGATGCTCACCGCCGTGCGTGAGTAATTCCATCGTAGGCTTGCTGGACGGTGATGTGTTGGATGAGATTTACCATGTAATCAAGTTAGTTTTGTTAGGGTTTGATCCCTAGTATCCACTATGTTCTGAGATTGATGTTGCTATGACTTTGCTATGCTTAATGCTTGTCACTAGGGCCCGAGTGCCATGATTTCAGATCTGAACCTATTATGTTTTCATGAATATATGTGTGTTCTTGATCCTATCTTGCAAGTCTATAGTCACCTATTATGTGGTATGATCCGACAACCCCGAATTGACAATAATCGGGATACTTCTCGGTGATGACCATAGTTTGAGGAGTTCATGTATTCACTATGTGCTAATGCTTTGTTCCGGTTCTCTATTAAAGGGAGGCCTTAATATCCAGTTTCCGCTAGGACCCCGCTGCCACGGGAGGGTAGGACAAAAGATGTCATGCAAGTTCTTTTCCATAAGCACGTATGACTATTTACGGAATACATGCCTACATTAAATAGATGAACTGGAGCTAGTTCTATGTCACCCTATGTTATAGCTATTACATGAGGAATCGCATCCGGCATAATTATCCATCACTGATCCATTGCCTACGAGCTTTTCACATATTGTTCTTCACTTATTTACTTTTCCGTTGCTATTGCTATAATCACTACAAAACCCAAAAACATTACTTTTGCTACTGTTACCTTTATTATCATACTACTTTGCTACTAAATACTTTGCTGCAGATACTAAGTTATCCAGGTGTGGTTGAATTGACAACTCAACTGCTAATACTCAAGAATATTCTTTGGCTCCCCTTGTGTCGAATCAATAAATTTGGGTTGAATACTTTACCCTCGAAAGCTGTTGTGATCCCCTACACTTGTGGGTTATCAGAGACATAGGATCACCATGTGTTAAACCTTTCAAGGTCTACAAAATAATGATCAATAGCATAATTTACCTTGACCCCAACGCTCCCATCCTAAACAAAAGATTCAACATGCTGATCTCATTCCACGATGAACCCTTTTATATGAGAGCTTATTGAAGAAAATTCCATTGGAAGCTAATAAATAGTTTCATGTAGGATGACCATCCCCTCCAAAATATTTTGTTCAGGCATGAAAGTCGCTTGCGTAGGGCGGACCACTGAATGAGCGATGGTGAAGAGCCTATTATTACTTAGTTTTTGTGAATATTTTGAAGTTGAGGTTCAGCAAGCAAATAGGTCGTAACCGTTCCATCGGAATTGCCTCTTCCTTCTTAGGAAGAAAAACGATTATCCCAAAACTGGGGTGAAACAATGTAAATCATCATTTAAAAGATCCTTGGACATGGGTAGAAAGCCGGTTTTAGTTATCTCCCAACACCTACCGTAGAATTTAGCAATGAACCCATCTGATCCCAGAGCTTTCTTTCTTTCCATTTGAGAAATGGCGTCGAAAATCTCCTTCTCTAAGAAATGTGATGTCAAACTGGCATTTTCATCCGGAGAAAGTTGTGGTATATCACCAGTCACCTCCTCGTCCATCATGATGAAATTGGAGTTTGGATATCAAAACAAACGCTTATAATATTTTGCAATATATGCCTTAATCATATCCTAACCAACAATAGCACATTCATCTTGGTTGAGTTGGTAAATCTTTTTTTCCTACGCTTTCCATTTGCAATAAAATGGAAAAACTATGTATTATCATCCCCTGAACAGACTTTACCTTAGCACGCTGAGACCATTGTAACCCCCTCCCATACGTTTGGCCAAAAACTCATCCATCTGGATCTTCCATGCAGAGGGGTGAAAATTCGGCCTTGACATCTTAAGTGTTAACAATGCCCATCAGGCGCTCTTATAAAACACCACTCAAATTCTTCACCCAACTCCAAAGAGACTGCCTAAGATGACATATCTTGAACTACCAATGTTCAATATTAGTTGCTCCTCTCATTTCGCTAGACTATTCTTGAGCCACCAATCATGGAAACCTTCCCTTTCAAACAAAAATGTTTCAAAAGAGAAGGCAACTTTGTTCCTCAAACGAGCAATCTCACCGGAGTCCAAAAGAAGAGGTGCATAATAAAAAAAAATACTTCTCTGGAGAGCTCTGACAGTCACGAGATAGATTTTTTCATCTATATTAATATCGATCAGGTCCTTCACGGAATATTTATTGTAGTTCATTTTTTTTACTCTGCATATTAGGTTTCGTTAGGACAAGTCTTTGACAAAACAAAGAATATTAATTTGTATGGAGGCCTAATGTGCAGTGGAAAAATGGGAGAGAGTATCCGTATTTTGTGAGGAAACCTAATATTAATTTGTAAGGAGACCTAATATGTACAAAAATTAGAACATTAAATCAGGGCCCCTCGAAATGTTCGAAAAAGCGACATCCCTTTTCCTGTCAATTTCCAATAATCAGTTTTTGAGAAATTAGTTCCAATAATCTTGACCAACTGTAAAGTACCAAAGTCCATTCATTCCAGAAATTTCTTCCCGGTTCCAGGTCCAGGACCATGACTTTGTGCATATGTGTGTCACATCTTTAAGATCACTTCACCACCAAACCTACGTTTGACTCTGTCTTGAGCGTATCCATGGCGGTGTGCTCTTTCTTTGATTTTATACCGTAATAATAACAAACTTATTCGATGTTGATGACCAGCACAGAGACCTGGATGATTCCCATTTCTTCCTATTCATTGTCAAAGTAGTCTTGGTAAACGAAGCACTTCCAAGTTCCACCTGTTAATTTCCAGTGAATTTCCCTGGTTCTCTCTATCTATATATGGAGCCACTCTCTGGCAGACACTACCCCGGTGCACTTCAACCGTATCGTCAGATCACTGAAACTTTTACTCTTGCATTACTGATTACTTGTCTGTCTCTGAGTGTCATCAGGCACTCCTAATCAATGGCGGAGATGGTCAGTTCCGCGGTTGTCGAGGAGACATTAAACCAGATCGTATCTGGTCTGATTGACAGGCATGAAGAGAGACCAGAGCGGACCGAGCAGATGGAGAGGCTGGAGATGGCGCACATCAAGCTGGAGGCGGCGCTCGAGACATCCGGCAAGTGGCAGATCAACGACGCGTCGCTGCTCCGCTGGCGCCACAAGCTGAAGCGTGCGGCCCAGGAGTGCGACGCCGCGCTGCGCAAGTGCAAGCAGCGCGCCGTGGAAGACGAGGAGGAGGAGGAGGCGGTCAGGGGCTCCTCCTTCCCTAGGCGGCTGGCCCATGCCACCAAGTCGTTCGTGACCGGTTTCTTCCGCCGTGACACCGGCGGCGGCGCATCTGTCCGGAGGTTCGAGTGGTTCGCCGACGGCGCCAACGAGTTCCTGAGGTTCGTCGAGCTCGGCGGCACGCCACGCGGGTACATGTTCTTCGACCCTCTCATCGGGCGCCTCCTCGCCGGCCAAGAGCTACGTTACAGGCTCGTCCGGGGAAGCCAGTACCACCTGTTCTGCGTCCGCCCCATCAGCTTCGAGGACCGCGGGGTGGAGGCCAAGATGCTGTTCGTGTACGAGGACGACGAGGCGCCGGAGAAGAACCTGTGCCTGGGCTCCATCCTGCGCCTCTCGGAGAGCACGGACGTCGTCGGGATCACCATCAAGTGCTTGCAGCTGGTGACCCCTCATTTCAGGTCCACGGCGGAGTCGGCGAGGAAGGAGCTCGCCGGGCTGCCCACGCAGGACTTCTCCTGGGTGCCGTACCTCGACTCCAGCCACCAGGATCACTGGAACAGCATCCACAGCAGCCTGACCCAATGGTTCCGTCCGAACCCACTCTGCTGCAAGCACCAGCACGACGAGCTCCAGCCCCGCACCAGCAGCACAACGAGACCGTCAGATGTCTCTCTAGAGCCGGTCATCGAGGTGTTCCTGCAGCGCCACATCCCGCTGTCCGAGTACAACGTGCACAGAAGCAAGAGCGCTGTCCAAGGCGAGAGGGGCTGTCTGAAAGACGTGCCACACCTGAAACTCGGGCTGCTCTTCTCCCCCCATGGATCTTCAGAGGACCTGGTGCCGGCGGTCGAGAGCTCCGCGATCGAGGTGATCGACGGCGAGGAGCAGAGCGGCATGCACACAAACATCAGCCTGGAGCAGCTGGACGAGGTGATGCTGCCCAAGGCGATAGATTGCCTCTACAAGAGGCCCGAGGCCACGGCGTACCAGATGTTCTGGAAGTCCAAGCACGGCACCGCATTCCTGCAGGTTGAGAAGACGAGCTTGGTGAAGATGCCGTCGACGAGGATTGGAGAGGCTGGGACAAGAAGGTTGGCGATCCAGCGACGCCGAGATCCGAAGCTCGAGAGGTGGATACAGGTGGTCATAGACTTCCTCAATCTCTGGGTTGCACACGCACCCCAAAAGCTGCGGAGCTCATTCATCGAATGGATTCACAAGGCCAATGAAATGAAACAAGCGCCGCAGCAAAGACCTACTGCTTCATACTAGAAGAAGTCCGTGGAAGAAGCTGCAGAGCTCACTGCTCTGTACTGTTACGCACTTTGCCACACACGTTTGAAAAAGGATTTAAATTCAAGATCATGTCTGTCAAACATATTGTTAATAAAGGGATAGAAAAAGAATGGTGAGGATTCTCCAATATAATATATTATTATATTTTAACGGTGTACACACAAGTGTTTTTTCTGGCTAAATTTTCCATGCTTAAAACACCCAACCTTCGATGTGTGGGGTACATGTTTTATGAAGCATGTATCTCTATGCGATGACGCCTGCATGAGGAGAAATGGTGCCGACGATGGATCTTAAAAAAAAAACTCTCCTTGAAAAGGTGTGTGCGGGGTACTCTATGTGTGCTGCTCAACAATTTGTGTTGATTTTCGCCTTTTTTTAATTAACCGGACAATTCTCTTTCGCTTAATTAGGACGAGGCAGGTCTTTTGCCTTCGTTTCAAAAAAAATATATCCAAAATGGCTGAGTTACATTGTCATACAATTGTGTCATAACATGTCTGTTTCCAATTTGATGAAAGATAAAAGGCACCTACTTCTCTTGCTTTGTTGTCAACTCTAGTTGATTGGTAGGAATGTTTCAAAAATAAAATTCAGCACTCTAGTTGAATGCATCGAGTGGAATTGAATTCACTTTGGTTCCAGCAGCTCGTAAGCCTTGATTTGTTCTCCAGCCCTAGCTACAAGCCTACAACTTTGAGACATGTTCACTTGTACACTTCTAGTGCATAAAACATTTCCTTCAAACTTTTGAAAAAAATAAAATCATATTTTTTTCAAGAAACTATTAAAATCCTATTTGAACCTCCTCACGACTCTTGAGTGGAACTGAGGCCCTCAACCCCTTTTCCGGAGTCGGCTAGGGTGGTGTCTGAGATGGTCAAGATGGGAATGGGCAGAGCTCGTCGGGTCACTAACCCGACCCAAAAATTTGAGGCCAATGGGTCATGTGGGTGGGTCTCAAACTAGACTTGGTCAACAAGCTGGCACCGGGTGATCTGCTCGGTCAATCTTATATCTCGCATCACTGTAATTTTCGTCGCGCCGTTGACGTAGGACCCTATTTTGCGACGCAATCTGTCATATAATTTTCAATGAAAGCTCGGTATATCAACAACAGAATTGTTTTTGTATATTTTGGCAAGATGCTACAAAACCACAGGCAGGTGGCTTGATTTTTTTTCTATTAACCACGTATTAGAAATCGCATTGATTCTTACACTAGTCAGATTTCAATAAAACCACGCCTAATTTCAACATCTCGTTTGTTCACAGGACAATGTACAACAAGAATTTAGGTCGACCCGAAATACCAATTGGGCCAACAAGACCATTGACAATTCTTTATATGGGTCGACCCGTGGCCTCTCAAATTAGCCTCTAGGCCATAGGGGCCGGGTCAAAGGCCAGGTCCGGATCGGCCCATTCCCATCCTGACCCAACCGTGTTCTTGTTCCCATCTCCAGGGTCCTTTGTGCATAAGGGCGGACGCGTGTGCAATTTTAGTTTTTTTCAGGGTTCGCTTTGCAATGATGTAAAGGCTTCTGGGATCTTCGGATCCCTGCCATTTCTTGAAAAATAAAAATCGAAATCAAGGCCCCGGGGTTCAATGAACAAATCCGCCCGTTGCATGCAATCAATGCTACCTAGCATGCCAAGCCAACCTCTTCTCTCATTAGATGCCATCAATCTTTTTGTCTTCCTCGTTGGGTGACCGAAGATATTCAGAACCAAAGACACGGATGATCACTTTGGCAAGCCTACTCACTGACTCAATTGTAGTATCTTCACCAATGCGAAGGTACTCATCGGCATAGTCAGCCGGAATGCCGTATGCAATTACCCGCATAGCTGCCGAGATTTTTTGATATGCACTAAATCCCTTCAATCCCGTTGCATTTCTTCTTTGTGTAAAATACCGAGAATTGGCTTTGCAAGCTTGAACTATTTTTACCAAGAGGGATCGGCACATTCGGTACCTTCTCCGGAAGAGGTGCGACAGATATGTTGGATTGTCCGCGAAGTAGTCTTGCATCAACATCTCGTACCCGAGATGGCGATTTTGAGGAATGCAAAGACGGCCGATGGTCGATCCTCGCCGTCTCTTTCGGTTCTCATCTTCATGCCCCTTCACGGCGAGGGCCATCACCAATGTATGCTGCCGATAGTTGACAAGCAACGTCTCAACATCCGAGTCGTCTAAATCAGACGAATCCTCGAGCAAAAACTTCTGGCATGGGCTCAATTCCATCTAAATTCACAAATACGCATGTCGCGTTAACCAACTATGCATACCGCTCGGCACAAGCACAAGGTCAAGTACTCGGGGCGGTGGCTCTGCGGTGGTGGATCTCGAGGCGGTGACTAGGGGCGGCTCGGGGCGGTGGATCCCGGGCGGCGACGGTGACTAGGGGCGGCTCGGATCGGCGTATCTGAGGAGCCGGTGAAGCGGCTCGGTGGAAGAGTGTAGGGGCGCCCCCGCGGCGTGATTCCGCCCGCAGATTTGGCTGGAATCGCCGGCGTCAGACGTGCGGAACCAATGGCGGGCGGTGGCGGAAGGGGTGGGGAAAGGGCGGGACTGAAATGTCCCTCTGGCCAATCGCTTTCCTAGGATACGTTGCACTGTTGGGGCGAGGTGGAAACCTGCGTTTCCACGGGTTGGGATGAGATTTTACAGCGCCCCTAAAAAAATTGCGGATCAGATGCGTTTGGGGTCTGGTCGGGCAACATTTTATGCACAGACCCGTATTTTGGCGGTTATTTTGCGGGTCAGGGCATTATACGGGGCCTACTAGAGATGCTCTAAGGCCCTCAACCCCTTTCCCAGAGTTGGCTGGGGTGGTGTCTGAGATGGTCAGGATGGGAATGGGCCGAGTCAGCTCATCGGGTCACTAGCCCGACCCAAAAATTTGAGGCCAATGGGTCATGTGGGTGGGTCTCAAACGAGATTTGGGTCAATAGGCCGGCATCGGGTGACCCACTCGGCCAGTCTTATATCTCACAGCAGGTGCAATTTTCGTCACGCCTGTGTTGTCGCAGGACTCGATTTTGCGATGCAACCTGTCCTATAATTTCGATGAACCCTCGGTATATGAACAATAGAATTGTCTTTGTATATTTTGGCAAGATGTGCATGTGCAAAGCCACAAGCAGACGACTTGATTTTTTTCTATTAACCACGTATTAGAAATCTCATTGATTCTTATGCTAGTCAGATTTCAATAAACCGTGCATAATTTTGACATCTTGTTTGTCCATAGGCAATGTAAAGCAAGAATTTCGGTCGACCCAAGATACCCATTGGACCAACGAGGTCATTGACAACTCTTTATATAAATCGACTTGTGGCCTTTCAAATTGGCCCTCGGGCCATAGGGGCCGGGTCAAAGGCCAGGTCCGGATCGGCCCATTACCCAACCGTGTTCTTTGTTCCCATCTCTAGGGTCTTTGTGCATAAGGGCGGATGTGTGTGCAATTTTAGTTTTTTCAGGGTTCGCTTTGCATTGATGTAAACACCGGCTTCTGGGACCTTCGGATCCCTGCCATTTCTTGAAAAATAAAAATCGAGGCCCTGGGTTCAAGGAACAAACCCCACCGATAGCTTGTAAAAAAAAACACCCCACCGATAGGGTTTAACAAGAAGGTTAGAAGGTTAGGAGAGCAGCCGCCGTCCCGGAGGCCGGAGTCCCTCGCCGCCGAGACCCGCTCCCTTCACTCCCACCAAATCGCCCCTGCTACGACTGAAATCCCTTTCACTCGCAACCGGCGGCGTCGTCCGGACGCGAATCCCCTCTTGCCGGCGGCGTGGTTCGGACGCGATTCCTCTCGCTGGTAAGGATCACGGACCCCTGGCCTTGCTCGGAGTGCTGCTCGTCCCGCTCCCGCCTTTTCGTTGCCCTGAACATTCGAACCGAACCACTCAGCCGTGCATTTCGGGTTCCATTTCCTGCATCCAAAACGAATTAGTGCTTCCGAGATCCCGCATCAATAGCCCTCCTAATAGCAGTTTGATTTCAGAAAATTTGGGGGTTCGGCTGGATCCCCATCCGGGGCTAATCCTTCTGCGTTAGCAACCGTGAATCTGTCTCATGCAAGGTTTTTTTTTCTTTTCTTCAGTGCCCGTGGTCTGTAGCAGGGGACTTGTGCGATGGCTTTTGCTAGTAGGATGGGGATCGTGCTGAGGAGGGCCTCGGGGTCCTCGAATTCGTCGCTGCTCCAGGCAGTAAGGTGCATGTCTTCTTCCAAGCTTTTTGTTGGAGGTATGCTCATATGAGATCACTGTTCTAGCTCCTTCTGATTCGAAGGTCCGTGCATATTATTGAGGCCGGCTAATTATCTAATTACATGTCTGTTTTACCTCCTTTCAGGACTATCGTATGCCACAGATGACCCAACTCTGAGGGATGCCTTTTCTGGCTATGGGGACGTCCTTGAAGGTTGTTTTCCCAATTAGCATGACACAATGGCTATATATTTTTTGCCATGTTGTTAACACTTTCTTTCTTTTGGGATCGGGTTCAGCTAGAATCATCATGGACAGAGAGTCTGGCAGGTCAAAGGGTTTTGGATTTGTTACTTACGCATCCACCGAAGCTGCCGCGGCTGCCATTAGTGCTATGGATGGCAAGGTGATTTTGCAGATATCCCCTACGTGTTATTGCGGATATGCTATGACATTCATGCCTATTGTTTCGTTTTTATCCTCTGCGCCACTTTGCAAATATAGTCCCAAATTTCAGGTTGCATGTTTTTGCTTCAGGAGTAGCTTGTCCTATTGTCTATTCATTGTTCTTGTCTGCTGCCTTGTACATGACACTTGTCATGCGCTGCAACTGCCAAACTGTTTTATCAACGCAATGATGCAATATAATTAGCATTATTGTCTTGATCTAAAGTGGAGATGTCTGAATTTTGCATGATTCACTGACCATTAAACTGTGCCGCCCATCAATTTATGTTCTGCCAAGGATAATGGC